CTTCTCCCTTACAGACTTGTATACCTGGAATATATGAGCACATTAATAGCACCACAATTACATTGATGTTTTTATATTAGCCAAGTTTAGCTTTTAAAGAAATGACAGTACAATGCTCTAAAATAACAGTTCTTGTTTACCCAGCTGTTTAATTTTTTTAAGATTACTTGCTCTAGAAAAAAGAAACAAAACTTAACTTTTGGGCCTTTGTATATAGAATCTTCTATAAACCTTTGCATATAAAATCACATCTGTTTGCCATTTCATGAAAACACAATGTCTAAGTATATAGAACCTGTTGAGACTTTAAATTTCAGTAATCTTTTCAGTGATGACAAAGCAACTTTAAACCTTTTTTCTTATTTACCAACCTATGAAAACATCAATAATGTTACCCAATGCAATTCAAGGAGTTAAGAGTACTCGATGGTATATTTAACATTTAGCATTTTAACCTTGTAAATCAATCAGATATCTAACAAAATTACTCATAAATGAATAATCCCATGTCAAATCTACTTTTACTTATTTTATCAAATTATCAGACAAGTGTATTGAACAGTGTTAGCCATTTTTTCCTTGTTGAAGGAAAATCCTAGAACCAAGGCATATCAGGAATTTCATAGACATCAACATTTTATTAGTATTTTTTTGAACACCTAGAAAAACTTGTAAGCTTAATTTTTAATGACATTTTTATTTTTATCTGTTCACCCAATTTAAATCAAACTGTTTAAATCACGTGAATTAAAGATATTTGGATCCATTTTTTTAAAAAAATTATGATCATTCCTTATATATCTGCCAATTTTCATATCATGTACATGATATATGGACATATGCACATCCAGACATATAACACATAACACAAGTGTGCACACATAACACAATAGTAAAGGCCTTGTAGCTTTTCACAGGTGAAATCTCCATTCTGATGTTTAAAAACTCCACAGTTGAATAAAAATAGAACTTATCAGAAAAACATTAACCTAAGTCTGTAGTATCAAAATCATGAGCTCAAAAAAAATACAGAATCTAAGAAAAAGCAAGAGTCCTGGAAAAAAAGAGTGGCCAGTAATTAGTATATACCATACAATTTACTTTTTGGCTTAGTCTAGTTTGAGTTCAGGTAAAAGACACTTTTACTTTTTTTCCCCTTGGGCCTCAGATCAGTCTCCTACTGAGCTTGCAGGCTTCTTCCATTTGCATTTCAATTTAAGTCTTGGCTGAAGTCTGGAAGGAGCAAGGAAAACTGCTATTCTGAGGGGAAACCTCATGCCTAAGGCATTTTAACCATTTTTAGTCTGTAATAGACAGGTTTGGATGTTGAAAACTATGATACCTTATTTTCTACCATGCACTCCTTATTATTTTATCTCTGACAATCCAACTTTTAACTGCAATGCTTCAAAAACCCATTCAGATACCAAATTGTTAGTAAAACATCATCTTTTAGACACATTTACATTTGTAGGTAGCCCATTCAGCCAAGATCATTCCCAAGAAACAATTTATAATATCAACACATTATTGCCCATGTCTTAAAGGGCCAGAAACAGATACAAACAAAGACACAATGACAGACAGAAAGGAGCTCCAGACTATGGCTGATAGACAGGAACCTTTAAAACAGATAGACTAGATAAGAGAAAAATCTCCCTAAGTTTCCAACTCCCATTTAATTATGACTCCTACACCAGTGGCACCATAGATGTTCTCACAGAAGGGCAATCAAAAGTGTAAAATCAAGGGTCTCGGTGTGGCAACATTCCTTCATTTAGTATCTCCCTTTTTTTTTTTTTTTAAGTAGACAAGTGTATTGAACAGTGTTAGCCATTTAGAGGCTAACATGTTAGAGGTGGAGTAATCCTTACAGTGCAGGAAAGGAAGGAGTTCCTCAGTCCTTCCTTTTATTTACAGGATTAGCTCCTCTGGTTTGGTTGGACCCCAGGCACACTCGCATATCTCTTAACTTTCCAGTAGTCAGCTCTCAAAAAGTTCATCTTACATCCTCAGCATGCAGTTGTTTGGAGTGCTAGGCTTCCCCAAGAAAGCTTGGGGGGAGGGGGGCTCCTCTAGAGTCCCCCCTGGGGTGTCAAAATTTGTAAGTGAAAGTTTGGTTCCTGCCCTGGAAGCCAATTAATGCCAATTAAATAATGAGGACAGGATTTTGAGAAAAAGAAAAAGGGAGATTTATTGCTTTGCTAACAAAGGAGAAACACAGGGGACTCCATCCCAAAGGTTGTGACTCTTGATCTGGAGGGACAGGGGAGTTTTAAAGGAGTTTCACTTGTTAATTTGGGAGATATACAGTTCTTAGATCCCCAGCAGGCATTTCCCTCTGCAGTGGGTGTACTCAAGGCAGCCAACTAGGGGAAGAAAAGAAAACATTGCTTCCCTAATCCTGTTTAACAAAGGGGGTTAAAGTTTATCAAAGTTCTTTAAAATACAACTCAAAGGGGTGTAAGAGGTGAGAACAGAAAATTGACATTTTGATTTACAGGGAAGCTAGAGAAGCATACTAAGGACATTTTTAGGCTAAAATTTGGCTAAAGTTACTCTACACATCTAAAGTAAATCAGAACTCGGGACACTGCATCAGTCCAAAGTAAAACAATGCCATCACACTTAACAGAGATACAGACAAAAAGCCAAAACACAGATTCCCTTTTCAGATTGCAGACAAATATGGAAGTAGGGTGCTGGCCACAAGCTAACTGTGGCGGAAGCAACCCTCCTTACCCTAAAATCAGATGAACAGATTGGGGGATTCTATATCCCCTCTGATTGAGTTGGAAGACTCTCTGATGGGGGCCTGGGATGTCTTCCAGTAGCCCCAGCTGGCGACCCTATAGCAAGTCTGCCAAGGCCAGTTGCCAGCCCAGAATACAGATTCTATGGGCTGTAGTCAGAACAAAGCAGACAACAGCACACCGATAATAAGACTCACGGGTGTTAGACTCTGGTTCGGAGGTCCTAGGGTCTGGGAGATCCCAGACGAGCCCCCAGATGTAATACCAGATTAATGGGACCCCAATAGACCTCCAGGAGCTGAATCCTATGCAATCACACAAGAGTCTTCATTGCAAGCTTGAGCCTGGACTCACAATCATTTCTGACGCAGCAGTCCCGGGAGTGAGTCCCTGTCCTTTGTTCAGTGAGTTTTTACATGTTTGGGGGTTACTCTAAGCATCACACAGCAAATCATTCCACATGGAGGGAAAATCAAACAACAACTCTGACATTGATTAGCACATTCACTGGCAGGAACAAGTTGGGTACGGGTGATTGCTTAGTTCAAGAGGTAGATACATTTGAACTGATTGGTTTAAGCCACAAGGGGTATATGTTTTAAATTACATGGTTTCCTAACATGTTGTCAATCACTGAAACAACTGGGAGGGTCACCTGGCATTTCAGGTATTTTCCCTGTCTCACACTGATTGGTGGTTACTAGGGGGTTGTTGTGGGTCAAGGTCAGGCATTAGGCCCCATTCTTTGGTCTTTCCAGAAACTAGCATAACTGAGTCAGGGACACCTGGCCACACAGATCTCTTCTGTTATTTACAGAGAAACAACTCAGCAGGGTGGCTATGTGCCTAGGAGTGCTCTGTGGGCTTTTCCAAGGACAAGGGTCATGCCCCCTCCCTCTGGACAGGCCTTGAGGTAGAAGCTGGCTTCTCAAAAATGGGATTCACATCAATTTCTCACCTTTAACACATTGAGTCTACGGGGAATCTTCTAGATCCAGACAATAGCACTGGCTATCTTTTTATTCCTATAAAATTTCTTGAGTTTTGTTTTGAGAGGCAGTTAAAGTACTTTGAGGATTCATTTTTACAATTTGTTAAGTGGGTCTAAAGCAATACTCAGTCTAGGACTAAATATTATTGCCCATTATTGAATTAAGATCTTCCTGAATTATGAGTTTTTCAAGTCTGAGTGGTGGGAAAAGGCATTGTGCAAACCCTAAGCACTGTTCTCTCTTATTGTTTTGAATGGTTATTTCCCTAGCCTCAGGTCATTTCCTCACATGCATGTACTAGCCAGTACTCTGCTATATATTAGGCGACTATCTCTGGGTTTCTCTGAGCAGCTCTGTCCCCTCTGGTATTTTGTCCAGTAAGCCCTAGTTGTCTTTATCTACATTCTAAGCTCCATCTTAACTCAGGGAATTTATGAGGCTCCATTTGAATTCTCCTGTCTAGTACCACTGTCTGGAAACTTTCAAGGCAGAAATGCCCGGCACATGTCTAGAATCTTATAATTCATTGTTTCTTGTTTTGTCTGGTTTTCTCCCTCTCCCCATTCTTATGTAACAAAATTTTCATGGTTACACTATACTGATAATAGTAACATTCTCATGGACCATTCTTATAGAGCTTTCAACTTCAAAAAGACTTTACAAACGTTATTATGTCATTTGATTTTCACAACTCAATGCAGTATTGATTTTTATCAACATGCATTAATTATACAAATTAATGGGTTTCACCATGACATTTCCATACATGCATATATTATGGGTTGATCATGTCCAATATCCCTCTACCCTTTCTCACCCTCACCTCTCTACACTCCCCCATCTCGGTTCCTAATAGTCACTCTTCTACTTTCAGGTCCTCTTTTTTGGTTTGTTTACTTTTTTGCTTTTTCAGTTTCTTTGGTCATTTAAGGTGGGAAGAGAAATCCAGTCCCTATTACTTCACTCTAACCAGAAGCAAAAGTCCTGTCTACTTGTAGTTTTAACTTGAGAGGTCTCTTGTGCTATAATTCTTACAGAAAATAATTTAATAATAGTCACTTTTCATTTCCCTTTGAAAAGCTGTGTATACCGATGACTGTAGGGTAAACTCAAATCAGCAGTATATTGAAGATACTGATTATTAAACTGATTTCCTGACTCTTGTTTCTGGGAGTTTCTTGTTATTCAGATGTGGAACCTAACTTTAAATAACAAATTTATGAAATTCCAAATTACATTATGATTTTATTCTCAGAATTAAGAAAAAGAAAGAGCAACAACGTTATGCTGAAGAGCAGAAGATCGAAAGAATGAACTTTAAGGAAGAACCATGTTCAGGGGAAAAAATGAGTGGTATGTTAGCCCAGTTACAACTTGAAGAACTGAAAGAAACTAGAGAAAAACAACAACAGAGAGAAAAAGAACACATAAGGTAATTTGAAAAGTTTTGCATGAAATTCTGATTCTAGAGGAGACTTAGTAGGAAGTTAGTTCTCTTTTTCATTAAAGAAAATGGACTGTGTTTTCTAATACTTGTCCCTATTTAGGGTACCTAACTTCACTAAATATCTTAATTGGCTAATACCGCTTGTGAATAGCCATATAGTTTTCCTAGTGCTATTTCCCAGTACAACGATGAAGAATCAAGGTATAGAGATATGAAATAATTTTAACAGTTAAAGCTGGTTGTAAAATCAGGATTCATTCTTACTTTTTTCTCAGTAGTTCACCTTGCCTGATCATACTGTTTTATAGATATGTGGAAGCATTACGTGCCCAAGTCCAGGAGAAAATGCAGCTGTATAATATTACTTTACCTCCTTTGTGCTGTTGTGGTCCTAATTTTTGGGATGCTCATCCTGATACCTGTGCCAACAATTGTATTTTCTATAAAAATCACAGAGGTAAGTTTCTCAAAGGAATATTTAAATGGGGCCTAGTAGCAATTAGCGATTAAAAAAACCCAATAAAAGTAGTAATAGTAGTAGTTTAATATTTATTGAAAACATTATAACACCTTTACAAAACAAAGGTGATGAAAATAATTATAGTGAGTTTTTATTTCTCTGGGAAGTTTATTATCTTCTTTCTCTCTGTCATGGTGGGGAAATATTTCCAGCTCATTCCACTCTAAAGGGACTTGGGTTCCAGGTCCTTCTTTAACTGAAGACTATTAGAATTTGAATTTGTGTTTTATATCCAAGTTAGGACTCTGTCCTGTTGAATTTCAGAAAATGATGAACTCTAACAAGAGTTCCAGTTAGATAAAGTGACATCATTTCTGTAACAATAATGTTTCTGTTTCTTGTCTGTCCTTAAATATATTGATTTACATAGTATAGAGATTATGTAGGTCTCACATAGGCACTAAAAAGTATGCTAGTATTTGTAATACTAGTGTGTCTCATATGTGTGATAAGAGCTTATTATCAAATCTGTTATATTTTCAAAAACAGATCTGATAATGCATTCCTATTCTGAAGCCTCTAGGGCTCCTGTAACAGTAGAAAATGCATGGCATGTTTTGCATATTTTCTCTCTGACCTCAGGTCACACTCCTATTTACTATTTCCAATATTACATATTTTTTATACCTTTTACATTGCATACACTCTTCTTACTGTTAATCCGTAAGACCATCTTAAGTGGTACAACTTCTGGAAATCTTTTCGATCCTCCCTAGAAAGTTATTCATTCTGTGATGACATTTTATATAAGCCACTGGTTTAGAAATATTACATTGCTATTTAATTATTTTTGTGTTCATCTGCTCTTTTTTCTGTTCTCACCATGTATTAAATACTCAAAACATATTTAAACATTTTCTTAATATGTATACATTATTAATGTTAATATTTACTCAGTGGAAAAAATTAATACTTATGAGACTCTGGGTAGAGAAGCAGTACTAAAAGAACAGGGAGTGGGAGAGTTGTTTAAAATTTGACTTTATTCACTGCTGTGCACACCTTTATTGTAGCATATCATCGGGCACTGCATTCAGTCATCAGTTCCTCTGATATCTCCGAGGGAAATTCAACTCTTCGAAGTGCCATTCATAATTTTGCTTCTGCACACAGACGGGCTTTGAAAAATCTGTAATATGAATTTGAAATCAGCTGAATCAACTGGTAGTATTTGAATCTTCATTTAAAATCAACTTTGAGAAATTGTTTAGGAAAAACCATTAAATTGTATCAGCTGTATTGTCTGGAAAGAAATAATATTCTACATAATAACCGTCTCTATAATTAGATATGTGCCTTGGGACCAAGGTTTAAAGTTGACTTCTAAACTTGTTTCTTCTTTGGTGTGAGCCAGAGAAACTATTATTTTAAAAAATGATCAGACAAGGAAGGTCTCTTTGTTTACTCTGCTCTGATCAGAGCAGAGTCTTCGAGACTGTGAGAAATCTTCGAGATTATCTTATTTATGATCTTTCAAAAAATGTATCTTTGAGTTTTGACAATATTGCAAATATCTGAATGAGGCAGAAAAGAATGAAATAAGCATCTGAGCACCAGTGGCCATCTATACAGCCTTTGGCTTTTCTAGTTGTGTATAGCAAGTAGATATGAGAATAGTCTGAATTTTATGCACATTTTCTTCTTAGAATTTTCTCTCTCCTAGTTTTTTGTTTTAAATTATTACCTCTTTCCCCATTCAGTGACAATGGACATGGGTGTTTTTTTAGTTATATTTTGTATTGCAAAAGAAGTCAAATAAACTATCTTTTAAATATCTTTCATATGAAATAATTATGAGTGACACTTCAAAATGTGAATCTGAAGGCAAAGTAACTTCAATCCTGCCTTATTTTCCTATGTTTAGATAACTGGTAAATGATATGCCTAGGCAAACAAAGTAAAAATTGCCATAGTTGTTATGAATTTGTTATTTTTCATACTATTTCTTGACACAAAATATGATAATGTTTAATAATCTAAAATTTAAAAATTATTTCTCTTTTTTTTTTAAAGAGAGAGTGAGAGAGGAGAGAGAGTGTGTGTGAGAGAGAGAAAGAGAGAGAGAGAGAATTTTTTTTTTTTTTTTTTTTTACATTTTTTTTTTATTGGTTGTTCACAACATTACAAAGCTCTTGACATATCATACTTCGAACAATAGTTTCAAGTGAGTTATGAACTCCCATTTTTACCCCAAATACAGATTGCAGAATCACATAGGTTACACATTCACATTTTTACATAATGCCATACTAGTGACTGATGTATTCTGCTACCTTTCCTATCCTCTACTATCCCCCTCCCCCCATCTTCTCTTTCTATCCCATCTACTGTAATTCATTTCTCTCCTTATTTTTCTTCCAATTCCCCTCACAAGAGAGAGAGAATTTTTAATATTGATTTTTTAGTTCTCGGCGGACACAACATCTTTGTTTGTATGTGGTGCTGAGGATCCAACCCGGGCCGCACGCATGCCAGGCGAGCGCGCTACCGCTTGAGCCACATCCCCAGCCCCTAAAAATTATTTTTCTTGCTTTCTCTTTTGTACAGTGCTGAAGAAATACTTTTTATCTCTAAAAATGCCTGATCTTCTATCCAGGCCATTGAAAATAAGAGTCAAAATTACCTGAATGACAAGACTGACTGGTTATTTATTTAACCAGATTAATTATCCAGGTCAGTCAGAATCCTTGAAGTAATTATATACTTGATTCAGTCTTTTTTTTTTTCTTTTTTTTAATGTTGTAGTTGTAGGTGGACATAATACTTTTATTTTTATTTATTTTTATGTGGTGTTGAGGATTGAACCCAGTGCCTTACCCATGCTAGGCAAATGATATACCACTTAGCCACAATACCAGCCCCCTTTTTCCCTTTCGTTTGGAGTACTGGAGATTTAACCCAGGAGGACTCAACCAGACCTTTTTATTTTTTATTTTGAGACAGGATCTTGCTAAGTTGCTTAGGGCCTTGCTAAGTTTCTGAGGCTGGTTTTGAACTTATGATCATCCTGCCTTAGTCTCCCAAGCCACTGGGATTACAGTGCAGTTGCTTGCTTTGAGGTAGATTATCATCCCCGCTTTTTTCTGCTTGTCTGTCTTTCACAGCCTCATCTTCCCTCAGGGCCATCATTATATGGCAAGGGTCTGTTGTAGGGCCCCCTAAACTTTGCTGAATGGCTATTACAATAGGAAAAAAATGTAGTGGTAAATTATACCCCTGTCTCACTTCAGCTTGCTGCACATTTGCCATTATCTCGTCTCATATCCTAGGATCAGAAACAGCAGCAGCACTTATCTATGGGCTTGTATCAATCACCACATTTCAGAACTTTTAGACTTCTCTCTTATTCAGGGTTAAACCTGAATATCTAAGTATCTAAGAGAGTGCGCAACACTTACCTACCAGGTAAGTGGCCTAACAGGAGGGGAGTGGCCTGTCACTTAGACACAGTACTCCATGCTCCTGTCCCCACATTACAGGTATGTGCAATTGAGCCTGGCTTGATTAAGCCTTTAACGGTTGTATTTTTTAGCAGCACTGTTGAAATATAATTCATACATCATACATACTTCACAAATTTAAAGTGTACTTCATTATTTTTTAGTGTATTCACAGGACTATACAACCACCACAGTATTAAATTTTAGAGCATTTGTATCACTTAAAAACCCCTGTGATTTTGCAATCCCATTTCTGGGTATATATCCAAAAGAATTAAAAGGAATATCTGAAACAGGTATTTGCACACCCATCTTAATAGCAGCATTATTCACAGTAGCCAATAGGTAGAAGCAACCCAAGTGTCTATCAATGGATGAATGGATAAACAAAATGTGGCATCTAATTAATAACAGGCTTAAAAAGGAAGAAGATCTTTTCACATACTGCAATATTGTACTAAATATTGTAATAAAGACAAATGCTACAGGATTCCACTTACATGAGATCCCTAAAGTAGTCAGATTCATAGAGACAAAAATTAAAATAGTGGTTTCCAGGAGTGTGGTTAGGAGCAAATGAAGAGTTATCATTTAGTGGGTAATTTAGTTTCAGTGTTGCTGGGTGAAAAAGTTCTAGAAATCTGTTTCATAGCACTGTGAACATACTTAACACCAGTGAAACATGCACTTAACAATGGTTACAATGGGGCTCGGGCTGTGGCTCAGTGGTAGAATGCTTGCCTAGCATGCATGAGGCACTGAGTTCCATCCTCAGCACCATATAAAAATAAAAAAGATACTGTGTCCATCTAAAACTAAAAACTAAATATTTAAAAACAAAACAAAACAAAACAAAAATTTGGTTACAATGGGGGCTGGGGTTGTGGCTCAGCAGTAGACTGCTCACCTTGCATGTGCAAGACCCTGGGTTCAATCCTCAGCACCACATAAAAATAAAAAAGTGAAATAAAGGTATTATGTCCAATTACAACTAAAAAATAAATATTTTTAAAAACTGGTTACAATGGCTAATTTTATATTATGTGTTTTTCATCCAGTTGAAAACTTTTAAATTAAAAATAGAAAAAGCATCCTCCATACTCATTATTTTTTTTTAAAAGAGAGAGAGTGAGAGAGGAGAGAGGAGAGAATTTTTAATATTTTATTTTTTAGTTCTCGGCGGACACAACATCTTTGTTGGTATGTGGTGCTGAGGATCGAACCCGGGCTGCACGCATGCCAGGCGAGCGCGCTACCGCTTGAGCCACATCCGCAGCCCCTCCATACTCATTAGAAATCACTTGCCATTGCCCCATCCCCCAAACTCCCTGAAATCATAGGCAGCCACTAATCTGTTTTCTATTTCTATTTCTGACCTATTCTTCACTTTATTATAAATAGGATATGTGATCTTTTGTGGCTAGATTTTTTCCTTTAGGCTAATGTTTTCAAGGTTCATCCATGTTGTAGTTCATATAGCATACTTCATTGCTTTTTATTGCTGAATAATATTTCATTCTATGCATAAACCACGTTTTATTTATCAGTTTATGAACACTTGGATTTTTCCACTTCTTGGCTAATTATGAAGACTGCTATGGACAGTTATTTACAGGTTTTTCTGTAAATACGTGCTTATATTTTTCTTGGGTATATGTCCAGCAGAGTTGCTGGGTCCTGTGTTAGCTCCATGTTTAACCTTTTGTGAAATGCAAACTATTTTCTAAAGTGGCTGCACCAATAGTGTATGAGGGCTCAAATTTCTTCACATCTTCAACACTTGTCCTTACTTTTTTCTTTGACTAATACCATCTTACTGGTTATATAGTGGTATCTCATTGTGACTTTAATTTGCATTTTCCTGATGGCTGTTGATTTTGTGTAATTTTTTATGTGTTTATGACCATTTCTCGTATCCCTTTTGGAGAACTTTTTTAACATCCATTACCCATTTCATAGTTGGTTTTTTTAATGTTGAGTTATAGAAATTTTTCATATATTCTGCATGTAAATTCTTTATCTGATGTATGGTTGCTTTTTCTCATTCCAGGTATTGTCTTTTCGCTTTCTTGGTGGTTTCCTTTCTTCATTCACTTTTTAGGTTTGATGCAGTCTAATTTATCTACTTTTTCTTTTGTGGTTTGTGCTTTTGTTTTAATCTTAAGAAACCATTACATCATCCAGGGTCACAAAGATTTACTCCTATGTGTTCTAAGAGTCTTAGCACTGTTAGTTTAGTTAGCCTATTACCCATTTTGAGCTAATTTTTGTGTATAGTGTTAGGTAGGGGTCCAACTTCATTCTTTTATATGTTGATAACCAGTGTCTCAGCATCGTTTGTTAAAAAGACATTGAACTGGCCACAAATAAAAGAGCTTATTTCTGAATTCTCAGTTCAGACATTGAAGTAGCCATAAATATGAGTGTTTATTTCTGAACTCTTAGTTCTGTTCTACTGATCTATATGTCTGTCCCAATGCTAATAAATCTGTCTTGAGCACTGTAGCTTTGTGGTAACTTTTGAAATTGGCACGTTTGAGTCCTACAACTTTTTTTCTGTTATGTTTTTTTCCAAGATTGTTTTACTCTTCTGAGTCCCTTGCATTTTCATATGAATTTTAAGTTCACCTTTACACCAGAAAGCCAGCTGGGATTCTGACAGGTGATGCATTAAATTTATTGATGAATTTGGGGACTACTGCCATTTGATCCATGAACATATGATGTCATCCCATTTGTTCTAAGTCTAATTTTGTTCGACAATGTTTTACAATTTTCAGAACACAAACTCTCACTTACATTGCTACATTCATTCCTAAGAATTTTATTGATACTATCAGAAATGGAATTGTTTTCTTAATTGCACTATTAGAACATTTGTCAAAAGTGTATAGAGGTACAGTTGATTTCTTTCATTTATTCTAATATTTTGTAGAGGATAAATTAGCAGCATGTTTTTCTGTGTAAGATCTTATCTTCAAATAGAGATAATTTAACTTTCTTTCAACTCAACCTTTTAGGTCTTTTTCTTACCTAATTGCCCTGGCTAGAACATCTAGTACAAAGTTTTATAGAAATGGTAGGGTGAATATGCTTTTCTTATTTCTCATTTTAAGGAGAAAACATTCAGTTTTTATACTGTTTATCAGGTTGATGAAGCTCCCTTCTATTCATAGTTTATTCAGTATTTTTATCTTAGAAAGATGTTGGATTTTGCCAAATTCTTTTTCTGCATCTATGATTGTTGTGTGTTCTTTGTCTCTTTTTCCATAATATGAGGTATTATATTAAATTGGTTTTCAGATGTTAAATCAACTTTGCTCTCCTAGAATGAGTTGTATTGGCTTTATCTGTTTCTTTTATCTTTTACAAGTTTTTTGCTTGTTTTGTTTGGTTTTCTGAAACAAGTGAATCAACTTGTCTGATGTCAAATTAGTTGTAGAATGATCATGGGATCAGAGAGGATTAAGAAACTTCCA